GGCATAACTGAAAGATGAAAGAAATGCGAAAAAAAAAACTTATTATGCACTAATTCTTAGAATAATATGTGATGTTGGTATGTCGCAGTTGTGTCGCAGAATAATTTTTACGACTAATAGTCGCAGTTCATTCGCCTAACAAAAATAATTATTTAATTGGCGACGGACCGCGATTGACCGAATCGTACATCGAATCTCCGAATATTCATCGTAGAACAGTCGCATACTTTAACTCATAATTTTCTCGCCCATGCTCATACCTGTCGCCTATTTAGCGCATAGTTCATCGCATATGTCTTCGTACATTTTGGGGTGAAAAACTTAGCTTTTTATTGGGTGGTGTGAAAAACTTATTATGACTTCAGAACGGGGTGAAAATAGCTATTTCCTCTTTGGATTTAACCGGTATAACCGAAATCGGCTAATATCGGAACTGAAATGTTATGAATTTACTGAACTGGACCGTACTCAGAATTTAACTGAAAATGGGACTTAAAACACGAATCGGGATTTAAATATTAATTTATAGGTCAAACCGGTCTAAACCGGTCTGCCCGGACCGCCGGCCTGTTGTGGCCGGGCAGTCGGCCGTTGGTTCGGCCAACGGGCCTACCAAGGCCACGGGCGCAGGCGTTGCATGAACTGGGCGTGGCATCGCACGCTGGCGTGCCACTGGGCGCGACTGGACATGGCATGACTCTCGCTGGCACGACAGGCGCTAGCCTGGGCCATCTGGACGTGACCTGGGAGCCTGACGTGCGTCTGGCGCATCGCGGACCTGCCGCTGGGCGCTGCCAAGTGCTACGGGCAGTGGCACTTGCGCGATTGGCGCTGTTGGGCGCTACCGGGCGTCCCAACAGACCATTGGACACATGAATGCACGCATGGGCGCTGGCTGGCATGACTGGGTACCGCGCGGGCGCTGCCGTGCGACTCTCGCGGTACTGGCTACTCGGGCGTGCTGTTGGACACTGTTTGTGGCCGACGGGCATACGAACATGCGCACAAGCGTGTGCTACTGCACACTGCCGTGCGCTATGCTCCACTACTGCGGACTGGCTGCGAACAGGGGATGTGCGCGACACATGCCTGGCATACATGCACGTCGCCCGCGTAGCGTGCGTGACTGTCGGCGCGCACTACCCGTTGCGTGCGGGCGTGGTGTCCACGACCGATCCTTATCGGCCGTCCGGCAACACCTTCCGGCAACTCCCACATGATTCAACATAATTCAACATAACAATGTTAGATCAAATATACTCAATTTGCTCAAAAACATGAACGTTGGCTGAATGAACTACTATGGCTGATGGCGTGCGCACCGTGCGCCGCCTATGGCTTTAAGCCGATTCTTCGACCGATCATGTACTTCTCGACCAACATGAATTAACTGAGTATAAAATGACATATAACGGTCAACTTAACATGAATTGCTCGGGAGTTGTCGGATAAAAACGAACATCACTCGGTCACGGCCTAACATGCTTAAACCGAACATAACTCAACTTTTCATGATTCTTATGACATGAACTGAACATGATGAACTTGAAATGATCATATGAACATGGTTAGAAGATGAAGAGAATGTTACCTCCTCAAACTCTCGGCAAACTATGCAAGCTTCTCGCGAGCAAGCCTTATGTGAGCGTGCGTGTGCTCCTCGTGCATCAAAAACTCCTTAATCTCTCTTAATCTCACTTAATATATACTAATTATACTCTAATCTCTCTCTTAATTATACTGAATGCTCCGCTTTAGGCGTGATGTAAAATTCTCCCTCACTCTATATAAAATGGGCGGATAATATGATGAAAAAGGATGAAAAATGTTTTAGCCAATCATATGTCACCACTTGCCATCAACCTAAGGTTTGAGGTGTAAACTAAATTGCTTAGTCATCCTCTTAGCAACTCATAAGCTTCCATGTGTTAAGTGTCATGATGACATTTCATGAAAATTTGGAGACCACAAACCCACGGCAATTTAGGAATAATTAAGCATGATCATATACTAATTAGACTTGCTTGAAGTAACTAAGCAATGCCGCATGCTAAAGATGCTTGGACGTGCACAATCCCTACATAAGCTTAGTTAATACACAATTATCTCTAATACATGATAATGCATTGACATAAATTTTTACTTAAGCATGATTAAGCTCGATAAAATATTTATCGAGCGATTAGACATGAATTAATTATCGGAAAATTATTCCGAACATAAACGTGACATTCGAAAATTAATTCGAATAGCCTCAACTTAACCTTGCTAATTCCAAACTCATTTATTAAACGAATTGAAATTATTTCGTAAACTTTATTCGGTTACTGAAATAATTAAATCGAATATCTTATCGACTAAAAGTCGAACTTTAACTGAAACTGAATAATTAGCTTGAACTCAACTTTGACGATTAATTGAATATTCTCAATTCAATTAATACGTCAACATTGACATAATTAATCCAAACTTGCTGACGTCCAATTATTAAAATAAACGGAACGAGATTAATTACTATTATTGACTCGGTTAATAAATAAAATTAACTGGAAATATACTTTTCGACTTAACGTCGAACTTGGAATTTAACTGGTTGAATAACTTAGACTTGAACATTAACATGTATATTTATTAACAAAGGCTAACTTATATTTAAAAGCTAGTATTTTCCTTTATTAATAAAATTCGGGGCATTACAGCATCACATTAATTATTTGATATAATGATTACCAATGATGTGTATGTTGATGTAATGGATGATCAAAATAATGCGTATGTTTCCCCTTATCTCCTTATATATAATTATGATATATGATTAGCCTAATGACATGTTGGTATGCTTCGAAATTTTATGTGACAAAATTTCATACTTAATAATCGGGTTTGGATAGATTTTAATTTACTTTCAATGTAAGAATAATTATGTCTGGATTCAGAGATGGAGCTACATGGGGCCCAGGGCATCCCTGGCCCCCCCTAATTAAAAAAATCAATATATATATATATATATATATATATATATATATATATATACATATATACATATATATATATATATATGGGGAGGATCCAATGAGTACACTCCTTAAAATGAGTCCACTCCTTAAAATATATATTAATTTAATAATAAAATAATTATTAGTTGACTCCGGCGTTGACCGTTGACTTTCGGCGTTGACCGTTGACTTCCGGCGAAAAATCGTTGACTTTCGACGTTGATCGTTGACTTCCGGCGTTGACCCGTTGACCCCTAGTATGCATCATATGTATGAAAGTAAATATGCATCCAGTACCATGCATTCAATATGAACTAAATATGCATGAGATATGAATTGCACATGCAGTCCTTATGAACTAAATATGCACCAATAATATCAACTAAGTATGCACCTGTTATGAACTAAGTATGCATCTGTTATGAACTAAATATGCATCATGAATGAACTAAATATGCAGCGAAAAATATGCAATAAAAATGTACATTTTATATAGGTAATTTATGATGCATATTTACTTAATTTATTATGAATATTTAGGTAATTTATGATGCATATTTAGTTAATACGAAATGCATACTTGTTATATTTAACTTAAATATATAATAATATGTTGTTACATGGAAATTAACAACAACCAAATTGGGATGTATGTTAAGTTAATCTAGATGTTTAGCGATGAAAAGCTTGTGTCTTTTATTCAGAAAAATAATTTGTGGCATGTAGTAAGGTGGTATCCTTCTCTGTCTGGGAAATTCTCTATTTCCCTTTTATATTTACATACCATAATTATCTGTACAGTAATCATTATATTTTGAACGGTCAAAGGCGGTCCTTGGTGGTTTCTCTTGATAGCTTGCCACTTGGATAAACGTAATGATGAATTACGCTGAGTTGTCGCCGCCTTACCATGCTGAGCTGGCATGTTATAGATATCGGCCCACTTAGTTATAACCGGTACGTTGTGGCTGATATGTAGTAACCGACATGTGTTGACCGACATGTGTTGACCGACATGTGATATCGGTCAACTTTAGTAAGGATGTCGGTTTCTACTGAATCTTCATTGTGTAGTTATCTGGAAGTTGGTAGAAGTGTCTCTTGCTCACATGAACTCTAATCACCATTATATTGATCTCAATCAACGGATTAATGTCGCATAATCCGACTTACAGAAAATGATATCAACAAGGTGGCCCCCAGCATTAATGGTCGTCTGGATAAAAGACGGCCAATGATGCTGAAGTTGCGACGGACCTTGACAAAATTCCTGTAGTGACGCGATATGTCGGTTTCGCCATTTGCACCCGACGTCTTCGCACTTGCGAAAATAACATTCGAAAGTTGAAACGGCAGGCTTTATTGAAATTAATTGCACCGTTTTATATATAGAAAAAACGGTCACTGAACATAGGCCACGTAGCTATTATGAAGAGGCACGATTTCCAAGGGTTGTGTCGACTCGCAGATCTGGAGTGTGCAATTCACGCGCCCCTATTTCCATCGGTTCTCAACGGTCGCATTGATCTAGGGCTGAATATAAATAGGAATTCCGCTTTCGAGATCTATTTTACTTTCATTTTCTTTGTGCATCCATATTTTCTGCTTCTTTTGCAAATTAATCTCCTGATATCCGTATTCAAAGCAATTCAGATTTTCGGACGACTT